GAAAGGTTTGCCATGACTGGAAAGGAATTGATTGGGAACATTTTCAGGTGCATGCAGAAAAAACAGCTAAGTGTTTGCAGCTCTGGGGAAATGATGACTCCCACACTAGTGAGTGCCAAACACCAAGCAGAGACATGGAGCCAGATTGAGTGGCTCTTCTGCAGATGTTTAAATAAAAGTAGCTGTGGTTAAACTCCAGCTCCTGATATAAGATTCAGGCATATTTACATCTTGGATACTCAGGAGAGAACATGGTCCATGGTCCTCCCTCTGCAAGTGACTGACTGTGGCTTGTGTTCCTAGAGCAAGCAAACACACACCATGGCAGCCCAAATGAATAAATACTATTTTGTGCGGTTATTTAAGTAAAAAATATCAAAAATAATATGATGGCAGTGTGCAACAAGGAAATTTTTATACAACATGAAACAGAGTATGCCTTGGGATGTAGCAGGCGAGTGTACATGGACTACTGTTTGTTGTTTGAATGTGTAGATGTACCAAAGGACAACATTTTCTGACTACAAAAAGGCATCAGATACTGGGCATGGGCCTTTATAAAGAAATTAGACAGTATTGCCACATTGAGCTGCTTGAAGGAGAGACTGGTTTCTCCAAGCAGAAATACTTTCAGATTCAGTGTCACAGCACATCTCTGTGCAGTGGCCCATGAGCTGGCCTGTAACCTGGTATGTCTGAATCAATGTGAGTGCTAAAACTTCAGATGGGGAGGTTTTTTTCTTTTTTCATGAGAAGGTGAACCAAGGTGCCAAATTTTATTGAGAAACTGTAATGACGTTTCAAAAAGGTGATTTCTATCCCTTGGACATTTATCAAGGTACATGGTATTAAGGCACACAGTATTAAGGCTCATTTGAATTAAAATAATTTGAAATGGATATATGTGAGGTGAAAGCATGTGACTGACAGTTTCTGCTTGAAGGAGACTTCACAGAAGGAACCTTGACCTTATCAGTTCACCCTAAGTAACACGAGTGTGCCATCCTGCAGGGCATATTGTAAATTCTAGCTTTAATTTATTGATAGCCTCAGCAGCTCAAGGCAGCTGCAAACCCAGTTTACCTGTCCAGCTAAAGTGGTTTTCTGGCTGTTGTATACCTCTGAAGTCAGCAATGTGTTCCACTAAATCAACCTTTGTCAGTTTTACCAGGCTTTTTGAGAGAACAAAAAGAAGGATGCCATTGCTTTACTTCGTAACCTTTGGTGTTTTCAAGAGCCTTTTGTCGTTCTGAAATTGTGCCCAAATGCTTGAGGTTTAATGCAGGATTTATTACTGCTCTTTATTGTTTGGGATCTGTTGTGTGGTTTATTAAAATCCCTAGTTTGAGACAGCCACCTTGTATAAATCAAGCTGTATAAATAAACCACCTTGTACCAGAGGAATATAATATTTACGGTTTGTCCACAAGGGAAAATGTTTAAAGTGGGAATGTCAACTGGAAATGGAGTGGCTAATGTACCTTCAGGGCTTGGATGTATGTTCCCATTCTGTGCTGAATGCTTCCTCGTGCCTCAGTTGAGTTTGTTTTGGAAGCCAAGAAAGATAAACCATAAAAAAGCCCTCAGGGGATAACTAGGTTTTTTCCAGATTGACTTTGGGCTGGGGGGAGCTGGAAACATGGAATGGGCAGGGTGTGGAATAGCTGTTCTGTTACAGCCCTATCAAGTTCTTTCATCCAGATCTTCTGTTTGCACATGCTCCATTTCCCAAATATGTGTTTGTCCCTACCTGGTAGCACTGCATGACCCTTTCTTGTGAAGCTTATTTCCTTCTTATGACATTTGAATACTCAGGCACCATCTGTATCTTCTTAAACATCCACAGTCACCAAGAGCAGGGAGTTGGAAAGCAAGGACCATAAACCAACAAGGAATTATACTTCTGAAACAACAAGATCAAATACATCACTGAGCTTCAACTTCCAAAGAATTCATTTGGTCAGCTGCAACAATGTTAATGCAATTTATACCAGGACTTTTTGTTACGGATTTACAGTTTTGATCTTGACCAAACCTCAGTGACATGTGGGTGATATTCTTGGCCATATGTGATGCTTCCTAAAAATTCTATCATAATAGTGGATGTGGATTGCACATGGAAGCTCCTTTTTTTACAGTTTAAACATGACTGCCTTTGAATTTGATCCCTGGGTCCTCATGGGATTTGCTATACTCATGCTGCAGAAGCCAAAGACCACCTTTTGAAGATGGACAAACTCTTCTCCTTTCAGGAAGGGAGCAGTAAGTTTAGTCCCTGTAGAGATAGGAAAACAGAAAAATGGGCTGGAAGTTTATTTATTCCATGCAGGAATGCCACGATATAATTTGTGGGATCCCCTGCATCAGCTGAACTGGGGTGTATACAAAAAGCAGGCTACAGCTGTTAGTGTTCTTTGCCATTGAAACGCGGTACCTCTGCTGTTTTCAAACTATACAGTCCTCTTACCTGTGGCTGTAGGGGAAAGATGCCTTGAATGGTCACTCAGAAAAATTTACATGACCAGCAATGCCTTCTACAGCTCTGATGGGTGCAGCACTTTTGTGCTTGTTAATGGAATGACAAGGAAATGTGGAAACTTCAGCTGCAAGCTGAAGCTCATTTCCATTTTTTAAAGCCAGAAATCTGGGTTTAGATGCCAGTCTACAGAAGCTGCTAACAACAAAACAAAGCAGTTGGGGATTTGCTGCTCTTGTGTTTCAGGTGAGGAGTTGTAACTGACTTAGGCCCTTTACTTGAAAAAGCGTGCAATTATGCTAAAATTTTCCTCTTTCTAGTGCTGCTGCCTCTGCACTCGCCTCCTCATGCAGCTGAACCATAAGGTAGTAATGAAAGGCATCTTTTAACTCTGTCAATACCATTGTTTATTTTATCTCTGCAGTTCACACTAGGTCTTTGACTGAAATATAAAAACAGCCTTGCTGTTATCAACACAGGGCAGAAGCAGACTGGAAACTTGTAGTATTGCTCTGACTAATGCTGTGTCTTCATGCAGCTGAAGTTTAATGCTGGAAGGCACTGTGTGCCTTCATCACCCCTTCAACTCATCCTAAAAAAGAAAAGGAACTTCAAAGCATTCCTCATTTCCCTGGAGGAGCTCAACAACACAGATTACTCAGCTGCAGCTGGGCAGTCTGGCTTCCTGCAGGTGACCTCTTCCTCCATGCTGTCAGTCAGATTAACTTGACCTTTTTAGCCAGAAGCTTTCCTGGAGTCACTTGAAGTTTCTGTCAGCTCAACTCAGAAGGTGCCACACACTGCACAAGTTTGCATATTAGCCACCGGCTTCTCCTAGTGCAAGTTCAAGCATTTAGAGCTTGTGCAGCAGGAGCAGAAAGGGTAATACCACAGGCTCTCCACCAGCTTCTGCCCTGGGCAGATAAGAGCAGCACTTTTCTAAACTGGCCTGAGACATTGCCATGACTCAGTTCAAAGTTGCAAAGATAAATTAAGCTACAGTGTTCTTAGAAAAATAAAGGTCTTTGTAGAAGTTCCAGAAGCACCAAAAGACTGAAGCATTTGAAGAGAATAATAGTCTAATATTATTATTACTGTTATTATTTTTTGTATTGAACCTGTACTCCACAGCCTTCCTCTAGGACTGGAGGTGTTGCACTGGCCACTGGAAGTGTGTGAAATGAAGAGATAGCTTATGCTTTTAAAGGGCTCCCAGTCTAAGCACCAGAGTGGGAAGAAGGGAAAGAGAGGTAGAGGGAGGTTCCATTGAAAAGCTGATGTTTCAGAACTCATCTGTGAACCAGTAGGGACATTCTTGGGCATACATTGAACAAAGTAGGGCACATCATCCTCCTCACATCATAAGAAATTCTTCTCTAATTAATGTTTTTCTTCCTCTTAAGCCAAATACAGCGACTGAGATTTCTGTTAAAAAATGCAAATCGAACTCAAGCTCCCAGATTATGCTAACTTTTCACAGGAATCAGACTCCTAGCTGCTTTTATCCAAACAGGGCTGCATTATCACCCCCTGCTTCACAACTCCACTTCTGCTGTCTTCACAGCACATCATCCCTGTCACTGTCTGAACATTGCCTCTCATCGAGAGAAGCATGGAGGGGAAGAGACAAATGCTGAAAAAAGCCCAAAAGAACAAGCAAAGAAACAGCAGCTGTTTGATTTTGCCCAGGCACTACCAGCATTTGCAGAAGTCCCTGAGGAAATGACTGAGTAGGTTGAAGCAGACAGAGCAGTCCAAGGAGAATGGACTTCATCCCCTTGCCTTACCATCCATGACAAGGCAAGGATGCAGCACATGCTCCAGGGAAAGACAAAGTTCGCATAGCTGTGTGTTGAGAGGGCAAGCTCTAGCATTTGGCAATACTGTGAAAGGACTTTTGCAGTTCTGAAGGGAAACCACATCTCAGGCTGCCTCATATTGGTGTCTCTCAGGGCTTAACTTGTCCCCATTGTTCATTGCCATTTCCATTGCCATGGAAAGTTTTTTTAGCATTTAGACTACATTGACTGTATGGAAATTACAGGAAGAGAAGGGAAAGACCCAATGAAAGATTACTCGTAGACCTACTATAAAAAATTATCTTTTTTCCTGACACCAGAATTTCCCAGCCTACACAGAAACCAGTGCCAGAACAGTTCTAATTCTCTACTGTGAAACAGTCCAAGATCACTCTTAAGTCACTTCAGAAAAGAAAGACAGTATCATCTTGATCATAGTTCATAAAAGCCTTTGCAAAGGTGGCAGGAACCAAGACGCAAGTCTGGAGATCATTATAAGGGGACAAAATCCAAGAATTTAAGGAGTTATGCTTTTGTGGCTACCGTGTGTCATGGGACAGTTGGATGTAAACAAATGTATTCTGCCTGTGGCTGAGATAATATGCTAAGATCACCTCAGCCAGAGGTAAAACACAGGTAGATGTTTGTTTATTTTATTCTTGGAGACTGGAAATGTTGTTTTTCATTATTGTGTTTAATCTCTTCTTTCTCTGATCCACCTTCAGGTATCTCCATGCCTATACCCGTCTTTGGACTACAAGATAAATCTAAAGTGTTTAAGAATTGCAGCTGCTTACTTGCAGATGAGAATTTTGTTCTAGTAGGTTCTTTCGTGGCGTTCTTCATCCCTCTGACCATCATGGTAGTCACTTACTTTTTAACCATCAAGTCGCTGCAGAAGGAAGCTATGCTATGTGTGGATGACATTGGCCCAAAGACCAAGTTTGCTTCATTTAGCTTCCTCCCTCAGAGTTCCCTGTCCTCAGAAAAACTCTTTCAGCGCTCCTTGAACAGAGACATGGGGACTTCTGGGAGAAGAACCATGCAATCCATCAGCAATGAGCAGAAGGCTTCCAAGGTTCTTGGCATTGTCTTCTTTCTGTTTGTTGTGATGTGGTGTCCATTTTTCATCACCAATGTGATGGCTGTAATTTGCAAGGAGTCATGCAATGAAAAAGTCATTGGAGGACTCCTTAACATATTTGTTTGGATTGGTTACCTTTCTTCAGCTGTCAACCCACTCGTATATACACTGTTCAATAAAACCTACCGCTCAGCTTTCTCTCGTTACATTCAGTGTCGCTACAAGGAGGAGAAGAAACCTTTCCAGCTGATTTTAGTGAACACTATCCCAGCACTTGCATATGATTCCAGCCAGCTCCAGCTAGCACAAATGAAGAGTTTGAAAAAGGAGGCAAAAATGATGGCTAAGGATTACTCAATGGTCACAATAGGAATACATCATTTGGATGGTACCTCTAAGGGAAGTATCAGCCCAGGGAACGAAAAGGTTAGTGGTGTGTGATGGCTGGCAGCTGCCATGACAACCACCGTGCGTTTGCTGAAAATTTCACCTGGCTGGGAGAAGCTCTGATAGCTTAGGAAAATCAGCCCTGTTCAAGAGACTTTCCAATAACATCATATACTCCTCATATTACCCTGTGGATGAAAAACAGGGTTTTAATGGTATCAAATGTGCAATTTTTTTTCATACAGTACTTTGGCTGTTTTAAGCACAGGCTTTATTAAACTTATTTTTTTAATATTCTAAAGGATATATTTCTTAAAGAAAAAATGCAATTTCTGGTACTATAATATGGGCTGTGAAGAAACTTACGCCTTTCTTTTCTCTTTGCAAATGAAAGCTAAGCTGTCCTTTGATGTTCTTGCAGAATAGGCTCCAGCTAGTTTGTCTTGCTACAGTCGAGTTTTGTTATCATTAACTGAATGAGCACTTTACCAAATTTTGAATAAAATTATGGTTAATTTGCTAATATATGTTTAAAATAAATTTTAAACTATTAAAGAAAACCTATTAAAACTGCTATAGATTAATTATATGGGCATTTTTTAAACTGTTTAATGGTTATTTTTTCCTTCTGAGTAACCATTCTGAAATGTCACTGGGCTTTTCTGCTGTTTGTTCTGTATTTCAAGTTAGGAATCTTCAGAGAGAAATTATACTTAAATGATCCTTTGTTTCTACCACCATTTGTAATCTTTATTTTATGTATTGTAATTTATTTCTGTTCAAAAATTTCATGTGTTCGTGTTTCATGTGTTCAGCTTAAAACTTGAAAGTAATATTTTCAAAAGTAATTATTTGGATTGATTCCCTGCTCCTTCCCACTGGTGTTGTCAGGGAATTAAAGTGAGAGAAGACTGGAAAACCAGGCACAACATTGCTAAATAATTTCAGGAACTGTTCCAGGTCCACGCTTCTGTTCAATTCTAACAAAGGCTGATTTAAGTTATGTCAGAGGAAGTTTTGCATGAGTAAAGCTTTCAGTAAAAGGTTGCAGCAGATCATCTCTCATTGTTTTTGGTTTAAAAAGGCCATTTTGAAGAATGTCCTCCTGGTTTTGTTTTAGGATTTGTAGGGCCAGAATTATTAGAAAACTTGTAGTTGCTAAAAATTGTTTTCCCTAGTTTTGCTGTATTGCTGTTAAGGCAGATTGCTCAGGAATGGTCAGTAACTTGCACTACTAGGACTCAGCCTTAATGAAATATTTATGGGCAAATGGGGCTCTCTTGAAATATAACAGGACTTTTAAGTGGCACTGTATTCCACCTGCATAGTTCCAAGGGCAGAATACATTCCATAAAGAACACTGTTTGACAGACACGCCTAGTCAAGAAACTTCTTTCTTTTGGGCTTCACAGCCAATGTCACTGAAGCCAGTGGGACTTTGCTGCAGAGAAGAAATATAAATGTTGCATTCACTGACAAAACTTAAATCCAAGCATTTCATTCATTCCATAAATTTTGCAGCCATAATCTCATTAGAACCAGGATGTATTCCAGTTTCTCTGGAAAAAACACTGCCCATCCAGAAACCAAACTCCAATACCTTTATCAGTCCTTCCCTTGAAGTTTTCAGTTTTCACAGAACAATTAAATTTCCACTAAGTCAAAGAAAGAGAAGGACAGAGAGAAACTGAATCTGATTGTAGCCTACTAGCTGGGAGTCTTTGGGAGAAGTTTTTAGCTTAAGATACTGATCTGTGGGAGACAAGGTCTTAAAAGCTGGCTGGGTATTTGACCAAATTCAAAGAAACCGATTTTGTTGTTATATATACAGTATACCTAAATCTGATAGTTTTATGAGCCCTTTCCTCCAAAGTGGGATAGTCAGAGCCACCATGCACTGGTCATACAGGAGCTCTGCATGCCTCTGGTGACACTGACTCATTCCACAGGCCTCAGCCTCCATCTCTGGGTCTAAGTGTCATGCTGTAGCCCCGTTGCAGTGATGCGTGTCATCTATCAGCTCGCGGTCATTAATGGCTTTCCCCTGGGAACAAGCACCTCAGGGAATAAGTGGGAAGTAATAAAACCAAAGGTTTTTTGTGAGTAGAGGTCTGAGGCTCAAGATCTGCCACCAAAACAGATTGCCTTCATATGATGATAGAGGATTGAAGGCCTTTAAACTTGTGTGTGAGAGGAGAGGAAATACAGGGGCTTTCACCAGTGGAGGGAATTGCCACATTTTGTGTCTGTCTAGATGCAAGTTTCTCTGGCCTTGCAAGAGAAAGAAGTAGATGGGACAGCCAGCTTTTGTGTCTTACTGCCCATTTGTGCCAGGGAACAAAGCCTACCTGCATACTGTATGATGCATATGGCCCTGCGCTTCTCCAGGGCTCAATTCCTCCCAAGACTCCTGAGGCTCCAGTTGCTGGTCTGCACAGCCTCCTTCACCAGCTTGCACTTGGTAAACTGTTATTGAACATTTAACAATCACAGCTTATGCTCTCTGCTTACTGTCTGCATTTCACCCGTGTGGCAGAGCAGATCAGCTCACCATTTCTCTTTCATTTCACCTTCTGTTCCTCTTCCACAATGTCAAATTGCTCAGGTTGCAAATACTGACAGGGAATACTTCACTACAATCAGAGAGAGTTTCAATTACTGGCTTGAGGTTTCATCAGAAAATGACTCTGAACAATCATTTTTTTCCAGCTTATTAAAATAAAACCTATGTTTTGGACCTAAGAGGATTGACAGCATTTCTTTAATTGACAGCTGGAGATAACATAAGACTTATCTTTTGCTTAGAAAGAGGGATAACTGATGCCTGACATTTTGGTTCTTTGAGCACTCAGGAGGTTTTATTGAGTGATCACCAGCTTTTGCCTGAGAAGCCTCTCAAAGCCAAGAATGCACAGCAGTTAAAGACCAATATCTCCAGCTCTGTGGACATTTTTGACAGTTTAGTGAGGCCTGATTCTGCCATCTTGCACCAAAATGTTAATGGATTTTTGTGCAGTTTGCCTTAGTGAGGATGACAGTCAGGATCTGAATTTGTTCTAGGCACCATACCAGACCTGCAGGAGGTTGTTCATCAGTAGATAGCAATTAATAGATTCATTATGCTGCAGACAGATGACAAAGTTCAGCTGTTTTAAACCAGGATTTACAGCACTGGGTCCACACTTGGGATGATCACCACAGTTTAGTATGACCAGCTTCAGAACAACACTTCTATCTTGCAAAAAAATGTGAATGTTTTCATTACGCATCAGACTGGAACGGAAATTTTTATAATTATTCAGTTAAAAAAAAAAAAAAGAGAAAACATTCATTCATACAGATTAGTTCAGAGGGTTAGGGCCATCCCCTACCTCACAGGAAAAGCATGCTGAGTCAGTCTGTCATATCTGCATCCAAAAAACCCCACTTCATCTGAAAAAAATTTTAACCAACAATTTTTCAAGTAGATTGACATTTTATTACTGTTAAGACTGTATCTGAAAAATGTCCAAAGACATGAAGCTCACCATGTATCTCCTAAGCTGGTGTGCATCCTTTATACACTTCAGGGTAAAAATTCCTATGTATCTATCCCATCCAATCAACCATGCACTGTACTTATATAATTATTGCCAGACAGTGAGATGCATTCTATTTTGAATACATATATGTTTGCTTATGTAAATACATAGAGAAAAACATTTGCTGTATTTTGTAATGTTAATGTAAAATGGTGTTCCAATGCTTTATTGTTTTGTCAGATCCCACTGCTAGTAAAGCAGATTAAAATATTTAAATGCCATCAGTTGTTTTATAAACTGGAGGTTTGTCTTAAGTAGCTAATTTGGTTTGGTTTTATTTTTTCCACAAATACTCAGTACAATATCTGCCAAAGGCTAAAGTAATTTTAAATATTTTGCTGGACAAAAGGAAATTCTGCATGTTGCAGAATTTAACTGTCTCATTAAACTGGTCCAAAATGAGTCATTGTAATAATTCTCTTTTTCCAAGGACAGCCATTCTTCTACTGAAGTGGTATAATCTTTAGGTAAGTACAAAGAGCTAAAAACATTTCAGTCTCAGAAACAGCACATTTGCAATAGTAATAAGCCAATTAAATTTATTTCACTAAGAAGTAGGACTATAAGTTTAATATTAATAAGCAGCTGTATCAGTTTGCATGGCAAGGTTTTAGTAGTGGGGAAGCTTCTGTGAGAAGCTGCCAGAAGTTTCCCCCATGCCTGACACAGCCAATGCCAGTTGGCCCCAGGACCGACCCATAACTGGCCAAGGCCAAGCCCAGAAGCAATGTTGATAGCCCCTCTGGGATAACAGATTTAAGATGGGGCAGGGGTTGTGGTGAGGTATGTGGAACTGCACCACTGAAGCCAGAGAGAGGAGTGAGAATATTTGAGAGCAACAGCCCTGCAGACACCAGGTCAGTGGGGAAGGAGGGGCAGGAGGTGCTCCAGGAGCCAGAGCAGAGGTTCCCCTGCAGCCCGTGGTGCAGACCATGGTGAGGCAGCTGTGCTCCTGCAGCCCATGGGAGTCTACGGGGGAGCAGAGATCCACCTGCAGCCCGTGGAGGACGCCATACCAGAGCAGATGGATGCCTGAAAGAAGGCTGTGACCCCGTAGGAAGCCTGCACTTGAGCAGGCTCCTGGCAGGACCTGTGGGAAGCCAGTGGAAAGAGGAGCCCACTCTGGAGCAGATTTGCTGACAGGACTTGTGACCCTGTGGTGGATTCACGCTGGAGCAGTTGATGAAGAACTGCAGGCCATGGGAAGCTCTCATGTTGGAGGACCGTCTCCCGTGGGAGGGACCCTCGCTGGAGCATGAAAAGCGTGAGGAGTCCTCCCCCTGTGGAGGAAGGAGCGGCAGACTCAACGTGTGGTGAACTGACCGCAGCCCCCACTCCCCGTCCCCCTGCACCACTGCAGGGAAAGAGGTAATCAGAAATGAAGTCAAGCCCAGGAAGAAGGGGGGGGGGGGGGAGGAAGATGCTTTAAGATTTAGCTTTTATTTCTCATTAGCTTACTCTGATTCGATTGGCAATAAATTAAACTAATTTGCCCAAGTCGAGTCTGTTTTGCCCATGACAGTGACCGGTGAGTGATCTCTCCCTGACCTTATCTCGACCCACGAATCTTTCGTTGTGTGTTCTCTTCCCTGTCCAGCTGCGAAAGAGAATGAGAGCGCCCTGCCAGGGCCAGCTCACAGCCACAGCAGCGCATACAGCGCGGCACAGCTGCACAGACATCAGTAAGCCCCGGGTCACAGGACCACAGTGCCATCTATGGGCGGTATTTCTTTTCACGGAGAGCATGGAAATCAGCAACCCCAAATGGATTTTGATACCTTTTCATTTTCTTCTTCTTAAAAACAAAATAAATATAGTCCTCCAATCGAGGAATACAGCATACTCACTCTTGCTTACAATTGCGATGCATATCAAAGTAGTACAACTATTAGCAAGTAATCCCTTCAAAACCTTGCTCTAATCTAAAGGTTTTATCAAGCTTTATAATGTGTAGAGAAAAGCACACAAAGGCATATTTTTCAGAAGCTATCAAATGAAGGTAAACAAATCGTTCTAGCTGCAAACCTGTGAGGCACCAACAGGTGCAATGTGTCAGATAAGATCCCTGAATTGAAAATCCACTCAGTTTTACCTCAATAACACTGCATGTAGGGTCCAGTGTATCATGATTTCCTATATTCTTTTGAAAACTCCTTGCCAGATTTACCTATTTCTACATAATTTTCACTGACCATTGAAAGGCAATACATTTAGCTTATCCATCTGGCATTTCAAGACATAAAAGCAAAGATATTTGGAAAAGAAGATACTTAGTCTACATAGTATAATCTTCTGAGGGAACTCCTTGAAATATGACAAAAAGGTCTTTGGAAATTTATGTAGCACAATGAAGTTCTTTGATATACCTGCAGTTTTGACATGTGAGACCTGGAAAATAGGTACAGCAATTCAAAAACCTCCTTGATGGAATCTGACTATGCTGGATTAAATTACGATCACAGACATACCATGTTACCTGACCCAAAAAATAGTTCTGCAAACCATAATCAATTATGTCTAAAGTTATTTGACTACATATAAGCTTAAAATTTTTCAGTGAGATTGAAATCTTCGTTATAGGATAAAAAAAGCTCACAAGCTCAATAATTTTATTCAAATTCATTGTACCAGTTTACAGTTGTAAAGTTATGCATATTCTTAATATTTGCAGGACATCAGTTGTGAGTAACTGCATCTAAATTGCTTGGGGTATGTCACTGTGCAAACAGTACAAAGCCATGTAAAATAGATGACGGTTATAGTTGTGTTAATATTTTAACTACCAAATTAGTATCAGAAATTTGTTAAAAATTTAACAAATAATTTTAGGTGGTTGTGAAGAAAAATTGGAGTTCATCATGGCCATGCACTATAAATTTTTAAGTGCTGGACTTGCTTATATTTTATCTAAAATGTGCAAGGTTATTATATTTTAAATATGACTACTTTGCCATCCTGGATGTGAAAAGAATGTGTAGAGAATCAGATCTGGGATCTTTTCTTAGAAGATCTTAATATATAAGCAGAAATACTTTTTTTAAATTATTATTATTATTATCTGTGTTCACTGGGGACATGTGGGAATGGTCCTATGTCAGCAGACTTTCTTATGGTCATATGTCAGAAGATTTGCCTCAAGTCAACTCATCAGTAAAAAGATAGTGAGATAGTGAAGCAAAAGAGAAAACCATACAAAGATTATGTAAATAACATAAACCAACCTATGGATGTATTCTCTGAAGAGAGTCAGCGTGCATGTGCATCAACATGGTCCCTCATCAAGGGCTCGACAGAAACTAACCAGAAGTTAAGACAGTTTCTTGTCAGTATAATCGGTGTTCACCATGGAGGCAGAACACCAGTGAGTCTTACAGGGACCTCCAGAAAAAAAATATCAAAAGTGACAGTGTACATAGTGGAGAACTGATTGCAAAGACCATGTAATACTCTGTGATGGCTCTGAAAATGGCAGGTGAAATTCAAAGTAGGAAAAGTTAGGTGATGCTTTTTTTTTTTTTTTTGAAAAAAATCAACTCTAGCTTTTCATATCGAATAATATGCTCTAAGCTGAACATTATTATATGGGAACAAGATTTTTGTGTAATGGTACTGTGGAAAAAAATGATCAGCAATAGTTAGAAAAGTCTGCGTATAACTGTAAAGGGTACATAGAAGGGCAACAGGGATAATCAATTATATTGGTAAATATCTGAATAGATTAGGACTCTTAAAAAATCGGGCCAGTTCATGAAGCCATTGATAGCTCTTTAACATAGAGGTGATAGACATTTCTAGTCAGAGAACTGAAGGGATCTCAGACTGCTAGATGTTAGTGGGAGCTACTTGCCAAATGCTTGTGCTCTTCCTTCTACCAGTTCATTTTCAAAATGGGGTGTTGGGCTGCATGGACCTTTGTTCTGACCCACTACTGTTGCTCTTCTATTAGATTTCAAATGAAAAAGTGATCTGTATGCGAATTTAAT